CCCCCCGGGGGGCCGCGACATCTTCCCGTCGCCGCCGCCGTACCCGTCGTCGTCGTCCTTCCCCCTGCGCGCGTTGAACTTGTACCCGCCGTCGCCGTCGCCGTCGCCGTCGCCGTGAAGCCCCTCTTCGATCGCGGCGGCGACGGCGAACGCGTCCTGCGCCTCCCCCGCCGCCGCCGCCAGCGTCGCCGCCGGCACGTCGAAACTCGACGACCCGCTCATCACCTCTTCGATGTTGTGCGCCTCGTCGAACAGCAACACCGCGTTCTGAAGCTTCCCGCGCATCTTCGCGCGCAGCTTCGGGTCGATCAGGTAGTTGTACGGCATGAACACCACGTCCGCGCGCTGTTGCATGTCCAACGCGAGGTAGTACGGACACGGACCGCAGCCGCCGCCGCCGCAGCCGCCGCCGCCGCGCCGCTCCCCTGTCCCCACCTTCACGAGGTCTTCGATGTCCACCGGGGTCGACTTCCCGAAGTCCGGCTCTCGCAGCTTGAATCGCTCGACCTCGTTGTGGTGCTGGCACGCGCGCGCGTCCGTCTTCGCCTTACACGCCGCCGTCTGCGCCGCGCCCGAGAGCGTCTTGACGTCGCGATGGACGCACGTCTATGAGGGTCGTTCCATACGAAGCGATGTCGGGGTGGAGTTGAAAGGCGTCAGAAGCGGAGTTGAAAGGCAACGCGGGCGGTGATTGAACGCGAGGGATGGGCGGAGAGACACGCCGGGCAAAGTCCTTAAGGATCGGCGTTCACCACGCCAACGCGGCCGTATGGGGACCAGTGTGAGATAGAACGCGCCTGCCCCCTGGAGCCGATCACCGCCATCCGCGGGCGGTACGTCGTGCGCTTCAGCTCTTTGATGACCTGCGCGAGCTGCGTGTGCGTTCGCGAGGCGTAGACGATCGTCGGCGCGCCCCCCGCGCCGTGCGCGTTCGAGAAGCCGCCGACGCTTCGGTCGCCGTCGCCGCCGCCGTCAGCCGGGGACGTCGTCGCGCGCTTCGGTCGCTTTCGAGTCGCGTTCGCGACCGCCGCGGCCTCGCCGCCTTTCGCGACGGCGTCGCGCCACGCGAGCGCGGCGCAGAGCAAGCACAGCGTCTTTCCCGTGCCTGAAGAGAGAGGAGGGGACGGGAACGGCGAGGGAGGGAGGGAGGGAGGGAGGGAGGGAGGGGGACGTCGTGATGAGACGGGGACGGTCGAGAGGATCTGATGCTGGACGATTCCGATCGCGAGGTGCGCGCGCGAGGTGCCCACATTTCGCGCGTCGGTCGCTCGGACGCACCCGTGGGGCTCTCCAGCAGCGCGTTCTTCCCGCACGACAGCGACTCGATGACCTTCTCCATCATCGCCAGCTGGCACGCGTACGCCTCGTGCGGGAAGTCGACGTCGTACGTCACCCCGCCGACGACGAGCGCGTAGCGCGGCATCGGATGGATCTGTGCGTGATGATCGACGTTAGCGACGACGCGAGACGGCGGTCGACGCGACGCGAGGGGCCCCCCGAGGAGCGCGACCTCGAGACGCGCTCGAGACGCCCGCGGCGGGGACGCGCCGTCGACGGGCGCGATCCGCGATCCGCGCCGACCCCGCTCGCGCCTCGGAACGCGCCCCGCGCCGTCCGCAGTGGCGGATCCGCGGCGGGGGCGTCCGAGGAGAGGGCGTCGCGCGTCGCGCGTCGCGTCGAGTTTCGCTTACAACGAGCAAGCCGTTGCGAATTCGCTCATCAGTCCACGGCGCGCGTCCGACGACGACCGCGCGCGCGATGTCGCGCGCGAGCGCGCCCGCGGGACCGTCGCGCCGCGCGCGCGACTCCCCCGCGTCCTCCTCCGCGCCGGAGGACGCGCCGCCGGACGCGATCGCCGCGCGATGCCTCGAGCGCAAGACCCGCGCGCGCGTCGTCCTGCACGCGGACGTTCGAGGGTTGACGTTCGTGGACGACGCGTCGCTCCTCGTCCTGAGCCACAGCGCGTTCAACGAGATGACGTCGTGGTCGTCGCCTCGGCCTGACGCGTTCGCGGTGAAGTGCTTCGGCGCAGACGGGAAGCTCGCGGAGCGCGCGTTCGAGGTGCTCGGCCCGAGAGGCGTCGACGGCGGCGTCGTGCGCGATTTTCTCGAGTCGATGGTGCGGCTGTACGTCTCTAGGCCGACGCTCGTGCGCGAGATGCGATCGAGAGCGGTCGCGATGACGATCGGGGTCACCGCGCCGACGCGCGCGCTGGAAATCGCGGGGGTGTTCGACGACGACGACGACGGCGGCGGCGGCGGACGCGAGCTCGAGGCGTTGGAGGCGGGAATGCGAGGCGTGCGATTCGAGTCGTCGTCGGCGACGGCGGCGGCGGCGAACGCGCGCGGGGTCGCGTCCCGGATCCTGGACGACGCGTCGCCGTCTCCCGCGTCGTCTCGCGGCGTCCTCTTCGGCGACGACGACGGCCCGGGCGCGGCGTACGACGTCGCGCGGAGGCGCGAGATGTACCGACGACGCGCGTGGGCGCACGAGGAGCACTCGTCGAAGAATTGGATGCCTCTCGGGTGCGTTCTATACACTGGTTCCCATACGACCGCGTTCGCGTGGTGAACGCCGATCCTTAAGGACTTTTGCCGTCGTCTCTCTCCGCCCACCCCTCGCTTTCAATCCCCGTCCTCGACGCCTTTCAGCGCCAACTGACGCCTTTGAACTCCACCCCGACGTTCGCTCGTATGGAATGGCCCTCAGCGACGCGGGCGGCGGCGGCGGCGGGGTGGAAGCGTCGTTAGGGTTTCGAGTGCACGCGTCGGCGGGACGAGGAGGAGGACGAGGGGGCGTCGGCGGCGCGGGCACGCCGATGGCGAGAGGGACGGGCCGACGCGGCGGCGTCGCGCCGCCGCCGCCGCCGCCGCGACTGTCCTCGAGCGGCAGAGCCGTCGCGGCGGTGCGGTCGTTCCGGGGCACGCCGACGCCGCGTCACTCGTCGCCGCCGCGCGGCCGGAGCTGTCGCGACGACCGGCCGTCGCCGCCGTCGTCGCCCGTGTTCGAGGGCGTCGCGGAGCGGACCTCGCGACGAGGGCGGCGGCGCGAGGCGCCTTCGCCGTTTCGAGCGACGTGGTTCGACGACGACGACGACGACGACGACGACGACGACGACGGGGAGGACGACGGCGGCAACGACGAGAACGACGACGCGGCGTTGTTCGATTCATTCGCGCCGGTCAGCCCTAACGCACGCGACGGGGGAGTCACGACGACCGCGTTCCGCGGCGTCGGCGCGAGTAAAGAGGACGCGGAGGCTTACGAACGGAGCCGCGTGAACAAGCGCGTCCGCGACCTCGCGCGAGTGATGCGCGACTCGCTGTCGCGCGTGGGGTGCGCGAGCTCCGAGGCGGACCTCAAGAGCGAGTGCGTCACGTTGGTCGACCGCCTGAAGCGGTTCGTCGCGGAGGGCGCGTCGGCGCGAGGAGGCGTCGGGCGTTGAATAGTCTACTTAGACGTAGAAGCGCTCTTCTCGCTCCCCTTCCCCCCGCAGCGCCTTCGCTCTTCACTCTTCCAACGCCGGGCGCGTCAGCAGCCACAGGCACGGCCCCAACACCGGCAGCGCGCAGAACCCCAGCGCCTTGCCTCGCTCGAACACCCCGCGACGTTTCATATCCTCCGAAAGCGCGTCGTACATGGCTAACGAGAGCACCAACAGATCGCACGATGACACGCACGCGAGCGCGCTCTGCTCGCGCCACAGCGTCGCGAACCCCTCCAACGTCTCCGCGTCGACGTGCGATGCGGCGTACGCGATCAGAAACGTCGCGAAGAGCGTCTGGAACAGCGCGAACGGCTTGGACTCGAACACCGTCCGCGTCGCCCACCCGAGCTCGGACCGTCGCGGCGCGGACGTCCTCGGCGCCCTGATGAGTTTCGTACGTACAGTATTTCATCGGTCAGTTGAAAGGGGTCGCGATCAACATGCAAGTATTGAAACTACTGTACGGGGTGGGTGAGAAACGCAAACGTTGAGAGTACTACTCGTACGCGCCTGGTTATCAGGTACGGCCCGAGCGCGAAGAACCCGAGCGCGAACGACGCGACGACCGGCGGCAGCGTCGGCACCCGCGGCTGGTCTCTCGCCCCCGGCAGCAGCAGCGCGGCGTACACCGCGGGGACGACGCCGAGGGAGTTGAACAGCGCTTCGAAGATGGGATTCGCCGCTCCGCTGAACGGCGACGTCACGAGCGACGTCACGAGCTCCGCGTCGAACGCGGCGGTGCCGGACGGCGCGACGGTCGTCGCGACGCCGCCGAGGGCGAGCCAACCGAGCGCGAGCGCGGCGCGTCCCGGGACGTTGATCTCTTCCTCGTCGGAGGAGGAGGAGGAGGAGGAGGAGGAGGACGCGCGCGTCGCCGCGGGAAGTCGGTGACGTCGATCGCGCGCTATCCGACGGCGGTGGTGGCTGCGAACCGTCGCGCGGCGCGGCGGCGGCGGCGGCGACGCGCGCTCGGAGGACGCGAGGCGCGTCGCGGTCGTCGCCGTCGTCGCCATCGTCGACGTCGTCGTCGTCGCGAGCATCGCGGTGGACGTCGCGATCGTCGTGAGGGGGCGCGGCGGCGAAGAAGCGCGCGGGGGTGTGTCGCGTCCGCGGTCGGCACTCTGAGATCAGCTACGCTCAGCCAATTATCTTATTCCATACGAAACAAGTTCATCGGTCAGTTGAAAGGGTACGCGATGAATGTTGAAACTGAGGGATGGGTGAAAAACGTGTGTAGGTACGAGTAGCACTCCGCAGGGAGCCGCGGATCCGATCGGACGCGGCCACCAGATCTCGCTCGCGACGCGCCACGCCTCGCCTCGCCGCGATCATCACCGTCGCGCAGAACACGATGCGAATCGTCCCGCGCTCCCTCGCGTCCATCGCGCTCGTCGCGATCCTCGCGTCCATCGCGCTCGTCGCGCCGATCCCCGCGGACGCGCTGTACGGCGAGGCGTCCTCCGCGGTGATCGTCCTCTCGGGCGAGAAAGAATTCAACGCGCGCGTCGTCGACGCGGACGACGAGTACTGGCTCGTGGAGTTCTACGCGCCGTGGTGCGGGCACTGCCAGAAGCTCGCGCCGGAGTACGACGCCGCGGCCAAGGCGCTGAGCGGGCACGACGCGACGCGCAAGGCGAAGCTCGGCGCGGTCGACTGCGACGAGGAGTCGAATAAGGCGCTGTGCGCCTCCGCCGGCGTGAAGGGATTCCCGACGATCAAAGGGTACAACAAGCTCGCGGGGTCGGAGGACAGGGAGACGTCGGAGAGCTACGACGGCTCCAGGGATAAGGACGGGATCGTGAACTTCGTGAAGGGTCGTCTGAGCGGCGGCGGCGGCGGCGGCGGCGGCGGCGGCGGCGGCGGCGAGTCCAAGTTGGCGCCTAAGCTGACGTACGACAAGGCGTTCCCCTTTCTCCACGGCGGCGACGCGTCGATACCCAAGGTGATCCTCCTGACCACCGGCGCGGGTCCCGCGGGGAAGAACACCCCCGGGTGGTTCACCAGCGTCGCGGTGAAGTATAAGAAGGGGAAGAAGTACGACGTGATGTTCGCACACAACGCGGAGGAGGAGCCCGCCGGGATCTCGAGGAATTTTAAAGTTTCCGAGTTCCCCGCGGTGGTCTTCGCGCGGTCGGACGGCGCCGGCGGCGGGCGCTACAAGGTCCTCCCCGCGGCGACGCTGAACACGTTCATGAAGGTGTCGGACAACATCAAGACCGTCGTGAACTTCGTGGACGACGCGAAGGCGCGGTCGCTGGAGTCGATATCGACGTCCGATGATTTCGCGGAGATGCCGAAATTCCCAGAGCCGCGCAAACCGAGGAAGCAGGCGGACGTGAAGTACGCGGCGCTGACCGAGGACAACGTCGACGTCGACTGCTTCGGCGGGAACGCGGTCATCTGCGTCATCGCGGTCGTGGACGCCCCCGCCGGGGACGATTTCAACGAGAACGCCGCGATGGCGGAGATCGCTAAAAAATACCGCAACGACCCGCTCTCCTTCGTATGGGTCGACGCCGAGTCGAACGCGGACTTTATCCACCCATTCGGGCTCACCCCGGAGGACACCCCGAGGCTCGTCGCGGTCAAGAGCGGGAAGCGAAACCGGTTCACGATCTACGACCCCGAGGGCGCGCTCGACGTGAAGGGCGCGAGCGACTTTTTGGACAAGATTCTCGGCGGCGACGCGAGGTTCACCGGGATGCAGGCGCGTTCTCCTATTCACACTGGTCCCCATACGACCGCGTCGGCGTGGTGAACGCCGATCCTTAAGGACTTTCTCTCCCGGCGTGTCTCTCCGCGCATCCCTCGCTTTCAATACCCGCCCTCGGCGCCTTTCAACTCCGCTTCTGACGCCTATGAACTCCACCCCGATATCATCGCTCGTACGGAACGACCCCGCAGGCGCTCCCGACGTTCGAGCCGTCGTACTTGAAGACGACGGACGAGGAGGACGAGGAGGAGGCGGCGGAGGAGGAGGTGGAGGAGGTGGTGGAGGAGGGCGTCGGCGAGGAGGTCGAGGTCGTGGAGGAGGTCGAGGAGGAGGAGGAGTGAGGCGACTGACGACGGACCATTTGTCGTTGTAACACGCACACAGTTAACACTGAACGCTGCTCTGCGCTCGCGCTCGTTATTTCCGCCCCGGACTAATCTCGTCGGATCGACCGATTCTACTCCACTCGAACGCGCGCGGCGACGCGACGTTGTGAGACACCGGGCGCGATGGCGGACCGTCGGAAGCTCCAGGCGGAGATCGATCGGACGCTGAAGAAGATCGAGGAGGGCGTCGAGGTGTTCGATCGCATCTTCGACAAGGTCACCGAGGCGGAGAATCAGTCGCTCAAGGAGAAGCACGAGGCGCGTCCTCCTTCGCGCGCGCTCCTTCGCTCGGTCTTCTCGCGTCTCGCGCCGGCCGCGCGGTCCTCGACGACGGTCACCGCGCGGGTTCCCGTCGCGCGCCTCTCCGCGGCGTGCGCGGCGCGCGCGCGCGCGTCGTCGTCGTCCGTCGTCGTCGTCGTCGTCGTCGCGACGCGCGCGCGCGATCGCGCGTCGTCCCCCGCCCTGGCGCCCGCGTTCGAACGCCTCCGAGGCACCCCGCCCCGCGCGCCGTACAAAAAAAACCCTAAGATCGCCGCCCGTCCCGCGCCCCTCCCTCCCCGCGCGCCGACCTCCCCCCACTCCCTCCCCCCAACGCGATGCCCCGCAGGCGGAGCTCAAGAAGGAGATCAAGAAGCTGCAGCGGTTCCGCGACCAGGTGAAGCAATGGGCGGGCTCTAACGACGTCAAGGACAAAAATCCGCTCCTCGAAGCGAGGCGCACCATCGAGCGAGAGATGGAGAGGTTTAAAGTCGTCGAGAAGGAGACGAAGACGAAGGCGTTCAGCAAGGAGGGCCTCGCGCGCGCGGCGTCGTCGAAGGACCCGAAAGAGAAGGCTCGCGAAGACGCGAGGGACTGGCTGAACCGCGCCACGGACGGGCTGAACGAGCAGATGGAGGCGTTCGAGGCGGAGGCGCGTTCACGTTAAACGCGCCGGTTCCCGTGCGACCGCGTTCGCGCGTCGCGAACGCCGATCCTTAAGAAGGACTTTCTCTCCCGGCGTTCGTCACTCTCCGCGCACACCACGGTTTCAACCCCGACACACCGCGACGCCTTTCGACTAAAACTCCGACTGACGCCTCGCGACTCCACCCCGACGATGCGACGCGATGCTTCGTATGGGCATTTAATCTAATCACCCGCAGGTGGAGACCATCTCGTCCGAGAAGAAGGGCAAGAAGTCGGCGAAATCGAACCCGCGGTTGGGGCATCTCGAGGAGAGCATTCAGAGGCACCTGCAGCACGTCGCGCGTCTGGAGCTCGTGCTGAGGCTCATCGACAACGAGGCGCTCGCGCCCGAGGACGCGGAGGATCTGAAGGATCTGATCGAAGATTACCTCGAGAGGAACCAAGACGACTTCGACGAGTTCGCGGACCCGGAGGAGATGTACGAGGACTTGAACCTGGACGAGCTCGACGAGATCAAGCAGATGGCGCACGAGGTGGCGCACAGCGCGCCGACGGTCGTGGAGAAGGTGATCGAGAAGGTGGAGGCTGCGGAGTCGAAGAAGGAAGGAGGGGACGCGGGCGGCGGCGGGGGCGGCGGGGGGGATTCAAACGCGAACGCGACCGCCGCCGCCGCCGCGAGCGCGAAGACGGCGGCGAAACCGCCGAAAACGCCGGAGAAGACGCTCCCGACGCCGGTGCTCGGCGGGGATAAGAAGCTCCCCGCGCCGTTGGGGTTATCCACCGCGGGACCCCAATCGCAGGGCGGCGGCGGCGAGGGCGGCGCGGTGAAGGTGCTCCCAGGACCGAAAGGACGAGAGGGCACGCTGGGCGGCAACGGCGGGAGCTGGGGCGCGCCCGGCGGCGCGGGGGGGGCCGGGGTGAACGGCGGCAAGGGCGAGGGCGGGATCCAGACGCAGCAGTCGTGGAGTTTCCCGTCCGGCGGCGGCGGCGGCGGCGGCGACCCGCCGGTGTACGCGGCGCCGCCGGCGCAGCAGAGCCAGAGCGTCGGCGGCGGGAAGATCCCCCCGCCGTTGCAGCCCGGGCAGCGGCCGGTGAGACTGCTTCCCATACGACCCCGTTCGCGTGGTGCACGCCGTTCCTTAAGGACTTTTCCCGTCGTCACTCTTCACCCGCGCTTCTCTTTCAACGTTTGACCGGTAAGATGTTCGACTGACCGATCGCTTCACCCACGCAGGGGTCGTCCAAGCCGTCCCCGGGGTCGCCCGCGGGGAGCGCGACGTCCCCTCAGGGCGGCGGGAAACTCCCCGCGCCGCTGGTGTTCCCACTGCCTGGATCGGGATCGGGGGGGAAGACCGCTGCTGCGCCCAGCGGCGGATCAGGCGGCGCGAGCGGCGGCGGCGCGAGCGGCGGCGCGAGCGGCGGCGCCGCCGCGCCCGCGCCTGAGCGCGTCGCGACGGGGGACGACGTCTTCGACCTCCCGACCGGCCTCGCCGACCTCGCGGACCCGGGAGCCGGCGGCGAGGGCGTCGGCAGGACCGGCGGGTGCGACGCGTTCGGCGGCGCGGCGTCGTCGTCGTCGTCGAATTCGTCGGACAAAAAGTCGTCGGACAAGGCGTCGCCGTCCGACAGAGGCCCCGGGGTTCTCCTCGGCGGCGTCGTCCACCGCGACGCCGCGGTGAACCTCCGCCTGCTCGAGTCGTCCTACCGCAACCTCCCGCAGCCCGGCGACGGGGTGTGGACGCGTCGGAGACGCGAGCGCCCGCCGGCGCCGACGCCCGCGAGTTACCCCGCGCGCGAGCCGCCGGTTTTGGAGAATCCGGCGCTGTTCGAACGCCTCGACGCCGACGCGCTCTTTTTCACGTTTTACTACCAGCAAGGGACGTCGCAGCAGTACCTCGCGGCGAGGGAGTTGAAGCGCGCGAACTGGCGGTTCCACAAGAAGCACGCGACGTGGTTCGCGCGGCAGGAGGAGCCGAAGCGGTCCACGGAGGAGTACGAGCAAGGGTCGTACATCTACTTCGACTTCGCCATGAGCGGCGGGCCCGGAGGCGACGGCTCAAAGGGCGGCGGCGCGCCGGGCGGGTGGTGCCAGCGGAGTAAGGCGGACTTCATGTTCGAGTACTCGCAGCTCGAGAGCGAGATGCAGTGAGCGAGGGAACAACTTTCGCGAAGAAGAGGAGGAGGAAGAGGAGGAAGAGGAGGAGGAGCGCTCAGCGGGCGCGGTTGTAAAACGTACAGTACACGCACCAGAGAAATTATTCACTCCGACTCGTCTCGCTCGCTTTTCCAGCCAGGCGTTCTCGTCGCTCGTTCTCTTCCCCCCGTCGCTGACGCGGCATTCCGCGCTCGCGCGTGTCGTCGCCGCGGGGGATATCGCGTCGCGCGTCGATCGCATCGCGTCGCAGACGCGCGCCGCGGGTCGATTTCTCGTTTCCATCGCGCGCGTCGTCTGCGTCGACGACAGAGACGCGCGCGCGGAAGGAAGGCGGTGCATCCAGTCCGACGAAGAAGGACAGCTCTTCTCGCGGCGGGCGGACGGGGGACGAATCTCGCCGACGGCGCTCCGACTACAGCTGTCATCGCGTCGTCGCGGCTCCGATGACGTCCGCGGCGCGCGATAGCTCGTCCTACCGCGCCGCGCTCGTCGCCGCCGCCGCGGAGGGCGACGCGGAGACCCTCCGCGCCCTCCTCGCGACCGCCCCACCGTCGGACGTCACCCCCGCGCTCGCGCGAACGTTCGCGAATCTGGCGCTGAGTCGCGCGGTCGCGAACGGACATCCCGACGCGTGCGTCGCGCTCCTCGACGCTCCCGGCGGCGCGTCGCACTCCGCGCCGAACGCGAGCGGGAACACGCCGCTGCACGTCGCGGCGGAGAGGGGGCACGGGCGCGTCCTCGCCGTGCTCCTCGCCCGCGGCGCGTGCGTGTCGGCGAGGAACGCGGAGGGGAAGACGCCGATCGCGTTGGCGAAGGACGCGTCGACCAAGGCGGCGATATCGCGCGAGGTGACGCGGCGGAAGTGCGCGAGCGCGAGCGCGAACGCGAACGCGTCGTCGGAGCGCGGCGGCGTATGCGGCGGCGAGGGAGGGGGGAGGACGCCGGGGAGGCGACGAATCGGGTCCGGGAGCGCTTCGTCCCCCGCGCGCGTCGCGCCGTCGCCGCGCGGCGTCGCGCGATTGATGAGGACGCCCCTCGATCGCGTCGCCGCGACCGCGAGCGCCGCCGCGACGCCTAACTCCCCCCCTTTCTCGCCCGGGATCGAGCGCATCAAAGACAAACTCCGCGAGGACCTGACGTGCGCGGTGTGCCTTCGAGACTTTTGCAGCGAGGGCGCGGGGTCGTCGCCCGTCACGCTGCCGTGCGGGCACAATTTTTGCCGCGACTGCGTGGGCGGCATGCGCGGGTCGGGGGACGCCGCGAGGGCGTTCAAGTGCCCGTTAGACCGGACGATGTTCTCCAGGAACTTGGAGCTCCGCGTGAACGGCGCGCTGAGGGATCTGATCTCGTTCATGGGGTACAGAGTGCGAGGCGGCGGAGGAGGAGGAGGAGGAGGAGGAGGAGGAGGCGGGACGCGAACGCGATCGCAAACGCCGCCGGGGAAATGCTCGAGCGCGAGCGCTCTCGTCACTCCGGAAGCCGCGGGGGGCCGGCGACGCTCGGGGCTCGCTGGGGGGTTCCAGGGCGACGACAAGGAGAACAACGCGTCCTCGCGCGGCGTCGGCGGGGGCAGCCCCGCGACGCCGACGACCGCGCGGGGGATGCGCGCGCGACGGCGGGGCGGCGGGTCGCCGCTCGCGGGGGCGTAGTAGATCGATAGCAGAGAGAGCGACGAAAGACGTGTGAAGCAAGCGTTACGAAACCGGAAACGCGCGCGGATCTGATCGCGTCGTCCGTGACGGAAATTTTCGCCGTTAGGACCCCCGACGTCGCACTCCTCGCGCGCGCATCCCCCGCACGCGCGGCGACGCGATGACGTCCTCCGTGATCGCGGTCAAGTCCGCGATGAAGATGAAGCAGTCCGCGTCGAAGAACCGCGGGAACATCGTGTGGAACGAGACCCTCGAGGTGCGTCTCGGGACGACGCGACGCGCGACGGATCTTTCGAATAATATTCTCCGGAGGACGCGATCCCTCGAAAACGACGACAGATCCCCCGAACCGAACGCCATCCGACCCCTTCCTCCCCCCCGCCCCCGCGTCGTCGCGCCGCAGGAAACGCGCCTGTACGACAACGAGAACCGCGTCGTGGTCCCCCTGACGCTCGCGTTCCCCTCCCCGGAGGCGAAGAACGCGCCCGCGGCCAAGGCTGCCGCGGCCGCGCGTCGACGCGCCTCCTCCGAGAACAAAATCGCGCCGAGACCGTGGCGAACGAAGGTGCGTTCTATACACTGGTCCCCATACGACCGCGTTCGCGTTGTGAACGCCGATCCTTAAGGACTTTCTCCGGCGCATCTCTCCGCCCACCCCTCGCTTTCAATCCCCGCCCTCGACGCCTTTCAACGCCAACTGACGCCTTTGAACTCCACCCCGCCATTCGCTTGTATAGAACGACCCGAAGACGAAGACGACGACGACGACGCCCTCGCCCTCGCCCGCGCGCGCGCGCTCGCCGCTGTCGCCGGTGTCCTCGAACGACTCCCCAGCCCCGAGCGCGTCCGAGGCGTCCGTCAACACCGTCGACGCGGGGTCGACGCCGGGGACGTCGCTGACGATCGACGCCGATAAGCGCCGGCGACGACGCCGCAGAGCGTCCGCGTCCGCGTCGAAAAAAATCCCAGCCGCCGACGCGACGCCGACGTCGCGGCTCGCCGTCGTCGAGGGGACCGGCGCCGACCCCGCGGTGATCGAGGTCGCGCCGCCGCGCCCGAGAGACCGCGACGCCGTGGACGCGTCGCTGGGGGAGGACGGTAACGGGAACGACGCGACGACGACGGCGACGGACGCGACGGCGGCGGCGCAAATAATTTCTCCGCGCGCGGCGCACGCGTGGCTGCGGCAGCTCGCGAGTCTGTCGAAGTCTCCAGCAGCGCCTCCAGCGGCGGCGGCGGCGGTCGCGGAGGAGGAAGAAGAAGACGTCCCCAGCGCGAAGACGCCGGGTGGCGGCGAGTTTGGCGGGTGGGTCAGCGCGCCGCCGGTTTCGGCGCCGGCGACTGAAGACGCCGTCGCGACGACGCCCGGTTTTTTGCGAGCGCGGAGCCCGGCCACGCTCGCGCGCGTTATCGAAGCCGCCGCGACGACGCCGACGCCGGAACCGCTCGCGGACCTGTCCCCCGTGATGGCGATCGAGAAGAAGATCGAGAGCGCCGGGGCCGAGTCGACGTCGTCGCCCCCGGAGCGCGCCGCCGCCGCGAAAGCCGCCGCGAACGCGATGCTCGCCTCCGCGGTGACCCTCGCGCCTACCCCTCCTTGGGTCCTGTGCGCGCCGCCTTTGACGTCGCCGATCGCGTCGTCGCCGTTCCCGGAGACGTCGCGTCGCCTCTGCGCGATGATGACCCCGAGGGCCGTCAGGATCATCTCGCTGGCGCTCTCCGTGGCGTTGGCGTCGTCCGTCGTCGTCGCGCTCTGCGTCGGCGTCGCGTCGGGTCTCGGTTCGTCGTGGTCTTGGGGTTCGTCGTCGGAAACGCTCGACGCGCGAGCGTTTCACATCGACGGCGCGTCGTTCATCGGCGCGCCGGGGCTCGTGGACGTCGTGCGCGTCGTGTGCGCGCTCGCGCGCGTCCTCGCGCGCGTCGTCCTCGGATACGGCGCGGCGCCGGCGGCGCCGGCGGCGGATGACGGCGTATCCCCGGCGGGCTTGGCGATTCTGTTCGGGTTCGTCGCCGTCGGCGCGGCGGCGGCGACGACGGCGACGGCGACGCGTCTTCGAGACCGATGCGACGCGTGCGTGAGCGCGATCGAGACGGTGCTCGCGAAGATGAACGCGGTCGAGGCTGTGGACGCGCCGGACGCGGACGCGGCGACGGCGGCGGCGGCGGAGGAGGACGCGAACGTCTCGCCGTTCGGCGTCGTCGCGGAGATGAAGCGCGTCATGTTCCCCGCGGGCGAGCACGCGAACGCGAGTCCGAGCGCGGTGATGCTCAGCCGCGCGAAACGGATGATGCGCATCGCGCACAAGCCCGCGTCCAGGGCGGAGGGCGCGCAGCAGACGTGATGAAGCTGAGGGTGACGGCGTTCTGTTGTTAAAAAGTTATTGAAAAATATGATTCTTCGCTTCGTACGTCCAGCAGAGACTACCAGACTCGTCTGCGATCACTCGACCGTCGCGCGCGTCTCGTCTCGTCTCGTCTCGTCGCTCCTCATCATCCTCCGCGCGCGTCGACGTCCTCCACATGCCGCGCGTCGCGCGCCGCCGCGACGGCGACGCCCCGGAACCCCCCCCGCGGCGCCGCGTCCAGGTCGTCGTCCTGGGCGACTTCGGCCGCTCGCCGCGCATGCAGTACCACGCGATCTCGCTCGCGTCGAGCGCGAACCTCTCCGTGGACGTCGTCGCGTACGCGGGCACCGCCGCGCGCATTGAGGTGACGTCGCACCCGAACGTCACGATGCGCCTCATCGCGCCGCCGCCGGCGTGGACGCGGACGCGGTCGCGCCTCGTCCCACTCCGAGTCGTCGCGCTCGCGATGCGCGTCGCGTTTCAGGTGCGTTCTATACACTGGTCCCCATACGACCGCGTTGGCGTGGTGAACGCCGATCCTTAAGGACTTTTGCCGTCGTCTCTCTCCGCCCACGCCTCGCTTTCAATCCCCGCCCTCGACGCCTTTCAACTCCACCTGACGCCTATGAACACCACCCCGCCATCGCTTTGTATGGAACGACCCTCAGATCGCGCAGCTGCTGATTACGATGCTATGGCGCGCGCCGTCGCCCGATTACGTGCTCCTTCAGACGCCGCCGTGCGTGCCGTCGTTCGCGGTGTGCGCGCTCGTCGCGTTCCTGCGACGCGCCGTCTTCGTCGTGGACTGGCACAACACCGCGCACTCGCTCATGGCGCTGGAGTTTGGGACGACGCATCCGCTCGTTCGAATCGCGCGGTGGTACGAGCGCGTCGCGGGGTCGACGCTGCCGCGCGCGCACCTGTGCGTCTCCGACGAGTTTCGCGTTCACCTCGAGAGCGAGTTCGGGATCCGCGGCGCGGTCGTGCTCTACGACCGCGCGCCGGCGTTCTTCAAGAGGACGTCCGTCGAGGACGCGCACGCGCTGTTCGTCAGGCGCGTTCTTCTTCACACTGGTCCCCATACGACCGCGTTCGCGTGGTGAACGCCGATCCTTAAGGACTTTCTCTCCCGGCGTTCGTCTCTCTCCGTCCACCCATCGCTTTCAATCCCGACACACCGCGCGCGACGCCTTTCAACTCCGCTTCTGACGCCTTTCAACTCCACCCCGATATCATCGCTTTGAATGGACCCTCGACCCTCAGGGCGGCGCGAGCGATCGACGCGTCCGCCGCCGCCGCGCCGGACGACTTCGTCTCCATCGCCGGGGGGCTCGCGCCGTCGGACGATCGCACGCTGTTCACGCGGCGCGTCTGTTGCGCGGCGGGCGCCGCGACGAGAGGCGGCGGCGGCGGCGGAAAAGTCCTTAAGGATCGGCGTTCACCACGCGAACGCGGTCGTACGGGGACCAGTGTGAAAATAGAACGCGCCTCAGGTCGGCCGGCGTTGCTCGTGAGCGGGACGTCGTGGACGAAGGACGAGGACTTCGGGGTGTTGCTCGACGCGCTCGCGATGTACGACGAGATCGCGCGCGCAGACGCGGAGGAGCTTTTGGCGGGAGGGCGCGGAGGGGAGCTTTTGTCGCGGGGACGGGAAGGGGGGGACCGGGGACGCGGAAAGTCGGCACCCCGCGGAGGAAACCAAAAAGACGAAAACGAAACCCGCCGCAAACGCCGTCTCTACCCGGACGTGGTCGCGATCGTCACCGGGAAAGGCCCCGGGCGCGACGCGTACGAACGTCGGATGGCGTCGCTTCGACTGACGCACGTCGCGATCCGAACCGCGTGGCTCCCGATCGAGGACTACCCGACGCTGCTCGGCGCCGCCGACTTGGGCGTGTGCCTCCACGCGAGCAGCGGCGGCGTGGACCTGCCGATGAAAGGTGCGTCCCATACACTAGTCCCCATACGACCGCGTTCGCGTAGTGAACGCCGATCCTTAAGGACTTTTGCCGTCATCTCTCTCCGCCCACCCCTCGCTGCTTTCAATCCCCGCCCTCGACGCCTTATAACTCCAACTGACGCCTTTCAACTCCACCCCGACACACGTTCGTCGCTTTGAAAGTCGTCGACGCGTTCGGGTGCGGGCTCCCCGTCGTCGCCGCGCGCTACGACGCGCTGTCCGAGCTCGTCGTGGAGGAGGACAGCGTCGAGGCCGTGATCGAGGGCGTCGAGCCCAACGGGGTGACGTTCGAGGACGCGGAGGAGCTGTGCGCGCGGTTGACAGAGACGTTGAGAGGGTGGTGGGACGGAGGCGACGACGATAACGGCGACGGCGGCGGCGACGACGACGGCGGCGACGACGACGACGACCGCGAGGGCGACCACGGCGCGACGGGGTTAAAGAGACTGCGACGCGGCGCGCTCGCGGCGATGCGCGCGGAGCGATGGGACGAGAACTGGGATCGCGTCGCGAAGCCTCTGTTCGAGTGACGAGCGAGACGCGATCGATCGATCGAAGTGGATAGCCGCGCTGAGGACTTAAGGACCTGCCGATGAAAGGTGCGTCCCATACACTAGTCCCCATACGACCGCGTTCGCGTAGTGAACGCCGATCCTTAAGGACTTATTTATCATCGTCATCGCTCGAGGTCGTCGTCGTCCGCCCTCGCGTCCGCCCCCGCGCGTCAGCACGATCGTCAGCACCACGGCAGCGAGCACCGTCCGTTGGTGTCCGGCGGCGGCCCGATGATCACCACGAACACGAACAGAAGCACCGCGACGGATATCAACCCGTACGTCGTGAAGGCGTTCGACGACCACGGATCGAGAGCGCCGTACTCCTCCGCGTTCTTCTTCGATCGCTCGTCCTTCCTCCGCCGCGGGACGTCCATCATGTCGACGTAATCGCTCGGCGAGCCCAACGGTTCCATGAACTGCCGCTTCGCCTCGTCGATGGAGTCGCCGAAGACGCCCTTCCAGTCGACGCCGTCTGTCTCCGCGTCGCCGTCGCCGCCCTCTCCGCGCTCTCGCTCTCGCTTCTTCCCCGAGTTCTCCTCGCCGTCGTCGCCCCCGCGCGATGCCGCGCGGGGGACGGGGGCGCGGACGCGGACGCCGCCGCGACGCGTCCTCGCGCGCGCGCGCGAGGACGGCAGGGCGATGCCGCCCCTCGTCGCCGCGAGCGAACCGACGCGCGCGACCGTCGACATGGTGTGCGCGCGGTCGCGAAGCGCGATGTGATGCGGCGACAGCGATCACGGCGTCTGCTAGATCTGCATCTGCAGCGCCGGTCTCGCGCGCTCGGCTCGGCAGCTGAGGGTCACAGATGTAAAAGTTCATCGGTCATCAGTTGAAAGGGGAAGCGATCAAATGTTGAAACTGATGAGGGATGGGTGAAAACCCGAGTCGTCGAGATCGGTTTTTTTCAAACAGAACGCAGTTCTCCTCCCTCCGCGCGCACTCCGTCGGCCGCCCGATCTCGCGCCGCCACGCCGAACGCCCACGCAATGGCCGACCCATCCCCCGCGAAGAAAGCGCGCCTGAGCCTCGGCGGCGTCGACACCGTCGTCGTCCTCGACTACGGCTCGCAGTACACGCAGCTCATCACGCGTCGCGTGCGCGAGCTCGGCGTCTACGCGGTCCTCCTGCCGGGAGACGTCGACATGGTGCGTCCGCGCGCGCGCGGGGGGGCATCTTCGGCCGGTCGTCGCTCGCCTCTCGCGCTCGTCCTCCTCGCCGTCTTCTTCCTCGTCTCGCCTCCCGACGCGCGCGGATCCGTCCTCCGTCGCGGATCTCTCGTATGGGCAAACACCCTCGCCGCCCGCCGACGCGCGCGATCTATCGATCGACCGATCCGATCGATCCGATCGAACGCTTTTTCAAATCTTTTTTATGTTCCCTAGCTCTCGCCGAGATCGAGTCGCCGCCGCCGCCGCTCACCATCCTCCCTCCCTCCCTCCTCGCGCCCCACAGAAACGCATCACGGACTTGAACCCCAAGGTGATCATCCTCAGCGGCGGCCCCAACTCCGTGCACGTCGAGGGCGCGCCCACCGTCCCCGACACCTTTTTCGACCACTGCGAATCGCACTCCATACCCGTCCTCGGCATCTGCTACGGCATGCAGCTCATCGTGCAGAAGCTCGGCGGCGAGGTCAAGTCCGCGGACAAGGCGGAGTACGGCCGCATGCCCGTGCACACGGTGAACGCGTCGAGCCTGTACGGCAACGAGGGCGACAGCACGTCGCAGATGGTGTGGATGAGCCACGGCGACGAGGCGACGAAGGCGCGTTCTGTTATCACACCGGTCCCCATACGACCGCGTCGGCGTGGTGCACGCCGATCCTTGAGGACTTTCGGGTCCCGCGCGCGCGTGTTTCTTTCCGCCCAGGGTCCCTCGCTTTCGATCCCGACACGCCTCGACGCCTTTCCACTCCGCTTCTGACGCCTTTTAACTCCACCCCGACGTCCATTCGTCGCTTCGCGCGATGGAACGACCCGAAGCTGCCCGAGGGTTTCGAGTGCGTCGGCAAGTCCGACGCCGGCGCGGTCGTCGCGATCGAGGACGCGAAGCGCAAGATCTTTGGGCTGCAGTATCACCCGGAGGTGACGCACTCGGAGCGCGGGAAGGAGACGCTGTCGCACTTTTTGTTTACCGTCGCCGGGGTGACCGCGGGGTGGAGCATGCAAAACGTTTTGGACGAACAGCTCGAGATCGTCCGACGAAAGGTTGGCCCGGACGCGCACGTGATCTGCGCGCTGTCCGGTGGGGTCGACTCCGCGGTCGCGGCGACGCTCGTGCACAAGGCGATCGGCGACCGGCTGCACTGCTGCTTCGTCGATAACGGTCTGTTGCGGTACAAGGAGCAAGAGCGCGTGATGACGATGTTCAAGTGCGTTCTATACAAAAGTTTTTCACCCACCGCCCGGTTTCAACATTTGATCGCGTCTCCTTTCAACTGACCGATGAATATTTTTTGTATGGAACGACCCTCAGAGAGCACCTGCATCTTCCGGTGACGTGCATCGACGACAGCGAACGGCTTCTGGGGAAGCTCAAGGGCGTGACGGACCCGGAGAAGAAGCGCAAGACGATCGGCGCGGCGTTCATCGAGGTGTTTAAGGAGTACAAGCAGACGGTGGAGAACAAAACGGGCGTCCGGCCGACGTTTCTCGTGCAAGGGACCCTGTACCCGGACGTCATCGAGTCGTGCCCGCCGCCGGGAAGCGACCAGAAGCACTCGCACACGATCAAATCGCACCACAACGTCGGCGGGCTCCCGAAAGAGCTCGGATTCGAGCTCGTGGAGCCGCTGCGGATGCTCTTCAAGGACGAAGTGCGGAAGCTCGGTCTGATCATGGACGTCCCGAAGGCGTTCATCTCTCGGCACCCGTTCCCAGGCCCGGGACTCGCGGTGCGCGTCCTCGGCGACGTCTGCGCGGAGGGGGCGCTCGAGACGATCCGCGCGGTGGATGAGATTTACATCAACGCGATCAAAGACGCGGGGCTGTACGATCAAATCTGGCAAGCGTTCGCGGTGTTCCTGCCGATCAAGTCCGTCGGCGTGCAGGGCGATCAGAGGACGCACTCGCACGTCGTCGGGTTGCGGGCGATCACCTCGAGCGACGGCATGACCGCCGACTGGTTCCAGTTCGAGCCGAAGTTTCTCCAGGAAGTCAGCGCGAAGATTTGCAACCAGGTGCGTAACGTGAACAGGGTCGTGTACGACATCACGTCCAAGCCGCCGTCCACGGTGGAGTGGGAGTGAGGAGGAGCGAGAGGAAAGGCGCCGCGAGCGGGGGGGGACGGGATTTTTGGATTTGCGCGGAGGTATTTTTTAGTCGCGCGTAGCGAGCGCGGCGCGTCGATCGATCGTTATGATGAAACGCGACGCGTTCGATGTACTTCTGTGCTGTATCATTCTTTTCTTCGTTCTTTTCGTTCGCGGGCGTGTCGTGCGCGCGCGCGTGCTTCTGACTGTCGTTCGTTCGTTCGTTCGTTCGTTCGTCGCGCGACCGAGTCGCGGGTGGCTGAATGTTCTTCGTCGTGTCGTCCTCGACTCATCGCGTCGTTCATCCCTTGATCGCGATCTTCTTCAGGTTCTTCTTATCCGCCTTGTCGATCGCGTCCGGCTTCTTCGGGACTTTCACGGTCAACACGCCGTTCTTCAGCGTGACGTCGAGCTTCCCAGGGTCCGAGATTGAGTTCTCCGGCATCCTGAACTGCCTCTGATACTTTCCGTACGAACGCTCGTAGACGTGGAATTTGAATCCGCTGTCCTTGTCCTCGTCCTCCTGATACGGTACGGGTAGAGGTCAGCGTGAGTGTGAGCGTGAGGGAGGGAGGGAGGGAGGGAGGGAGGGAGGGATGTGAACCGTCGCGTCGGTTCGCGCGACGTGAGCGGACGCGACACACACCGGAACGTCCGGGTGAATCTCGTGCACCAAAAACGTCCCTCTGCTCTCCGTGACGTCGCGGAAATCCTCCGGGGGACGCACCTCCTCGTGTCGCTCCGCGCGCTCCGCGCTGATCATGAGCATGTCGTTGTCCGTGTCCAGCTCCACGTTCACCATGTCCTTGGACAGCCCCGGGAGGTCCGCCGTGAACTCGTACCCTTTCTTCGTCTCGATGATGTTCATGTTGAAGTCAAAGTTATTCGGCAGACGGCCGACGCTGTCGCGGTGCGGGATCGGACCGGCGCCGAGCGAGGAACCCGTCCCCATGTCCCCCCCGAGCAACCCTGGGGTGAGGAAGCGGCGGGGGATTCTCATCTCTGCGTTCGATGCAGACGCGTGCGCGATCGATCAGTCGACGCGGCGTGAGTCGTCGACGGACGACGCGCGACCGACGACGTAAAACCAAACTTTAAAAAAAAAGCCAAACCCGTCGACGCACCCATGAGCTGCGCGAGCTCGTTCCACGGATCCGGCGACATCGAGAACCGCGCGTAGGGGTTCCGCGCGTACTCTCGCGAATAGCGCGGCGTCTGCTGCGGCGGCTTCTGCTGCGGCTGCTGTTGTTCTTGCACCTTCTGTTCGGACTTCTGCTGCGACAACGACGACGACGACGACGACGACGCCGACGACGACGACGCCGGGAAGGGGGAGGAGACGGCGTCGGCGAGACCTAAAGCGTACACGTACACGTACGCGGCGCTCGCGGGGAAAAAGAACAACGACCGCGGCGCGTCCAGCCGCGCGTCTTCCGGGGACGCGTCGTCGTATCGCGCGCGACGCCACGCGACGCGCGAACGGAACGGAAACGACGCGCGCGAGCTCGGAGGAGGAGCGCGGGGACGGGCGCGCGCCTGTTCCGCGGACGACGCGCGCGTGTGCAGCGCGACCTGCCTCGCTCGCGCGGAGCGGAACGTCCTCGCGACCGCGGGGAAGCGCGCGCGCGCGGAGGACACGGAGGACACGGCGGAGAGCATCGTGTTCGAAGAGAGTGGAGAGTGAGAGAGAGAGAGAGAGGCGAAGGGATGGGCGGGCGCGAGAGCGCTCGATGGGCGAGTGGACGCGTGCGGCGTGTGCGCGGCGATATGCCGCGGCGAGGACGACGGCGCGATAGAACCGACGCGTCGTTGTTGCTTTCTTAAAGTTTCGTTTTCGTCGTGGTTCGTTCGTAAGGTTATGATAACGCCCTCGCGGCGTCCGAGACCCGTCCAGGTGCGAGCACAGGTGCGATACGAGCACGGAAAAAAAAAAAAGTTGTCCCGGCCGCCGCGTTCGCGTTTCATCCGTTTGCGCGGCGCAGCATGTAATACAGTACGTCGAACGTCTACATAATATGTTCATCTACTGCAGCTAGGGTGGCGTCGTCTACGCGAACAAATTCTCGTCCTCGTCGCTGCTGTACGACACTTGCATGTCCTTCACGGACGTGTACCGCAGCGAGTCGGTTCTCGACCATCCGTCCGGCGTTAGGGTCGTTCTATACAAAGCGATGTCGGGGTGAAGTTTAAAGGCGTCAGTTGGCGTTGAAAGGCGTCGAGGACGGGGATTGAAAGCGTGGTGTGGGCGGAGAGAGACGACGGCAAACGTCCTTAAGGATCGGCGTCCACCTCGCCAACGCGGTCGTATGGGGACCAGTGTATAGAACGCACCTCAACCTGTTCGGCGACGCCTTCGCCTTCGCGTTCGCGTTCATCCGCCCGTCGCCGAGCTTCGCGCTGCCGCCGCCGCCGTCGCGGATCGACGGCGACATCGTCGAGGACACGTCCTGCGCGGACGTTTTCTTCGGCGATTTCAGAATCCCCTTCGACGTCGCGGACGTCTCGCGCTTCTCGTCTCTCGCCGCCGACGTTTTTCTTTTTAGCCTCCCGAACGGTTCGTCGTCGTCGTCGTCGTCGGGCCAGGATTTACGGGACGGATCTCGCGTCGCGCGCGCGGGCGCGATGACGCTCGCCCTCGCGCCCCCCGTGGCGGCGTCGTCCATCCCCTCCATGATCTCCCTCTTCGCCTCCTCCGCGACGCGCGCTTCCTCCGCTGGGGAGAGCTTCTTGAACGAAAACCCTCTCTGCTTTTTTTGCACCTCGGCGTCGGCGAGATCGTTCGCGAGCTGCGCCGCCGCGCTCTTCTCCGCGATCGACTCCGTGAGCGCGCGGTTCGTGATCACGCTGAAGAACTCGAACTGGACGTGCAGGCGCCCCGAGGGCGTCTCTTGGAGCTCCTCCGTGACCTTGATGTTCTGCCCCGTGCCGCCTTTGATGAGCAGCTGCGCGATGATGCGCTTCGTGTCGAACGAGCACATCCCCATGTAATCTCGCTTTCCGTACGAGTCCAAGTCCCAGCACTCGCACCGCAACTTGAGGTTGTTCTCCAGCTCCGGCTTGCCGATGATGAAGTCGAACTCCTCGTCCCACACCGGGTTCAGCGTCTCGTACTTCACGCTCGACTTTTGGTGCTGCTTACCCATGGAGAACCGAACGAACGGGTCGCTCCGGCCGTTGGCGTCGCGCGCGACGAGGCGGTCACCGCGGTTCAACGTGACGTGCAACACGCCGCAGAACTGATCCAGACCGCCCGTCGCGAGCAGCTTCTCGAGGTCCAACTCCGGCATCTGCATGCCGACGTTGATGTTGTTCTCGATGTCCCACTCGTTCTCGAACGGGAGGTAGTGTAAGCTGAAGACGATGCCGGGTTTGTCGTCTTTGAGGTGCGACGCGCTCTTCGACGGGCGGTCAAATTTCATGTCCTCTGGCACCTCCGCGTTCGGGGTCTCGATCAGCGGGCCGAGCTCGTACCGACACGACCCGATCGTGCCTCTTTTCTGCGTCTTCAGCGCTCTCTCGCCCTCGATCGCGCTCGAGGATTTGCTATCCCGCGTGTTCAGCACCGTGTCTTTAGATTTCTCTTTCGTTTTCAAATCGAAATCAAACGCGCCTTCCATCAGCGCGGCTTGCTTCGTGTTCGTCTTCTTCTTCCGTCGCAGCAACGGCATCGCTCTCTTCAGCTTCTTCATCGCCTTGCTGTTTCTCTTCACGAAGGAACTCATCTGCAGTTTCGCCGTGTCCACGCACGTGAACTTCAGCTCCGCGGCGCGTATGTCGTGGACGCGAATCTCAAACGTCTCCTCTACGACGTACTCGCCGACCGCGTCGGTCTTCGGGTCGTGGATCGACGTCTTCGTGTATCGCTTCACTTTCGGTTTCTCGTAATCCCCGTCCACGAGCTGAATCTCCAGCGCGGGCTTCGGGACTTTCTTCACGCTGTGGTAGATCCCGTGAAAGCGGTACACCGTCACGCGAAGGATGCCGGTGTGGTGAATGCGAATCGAGCCGTCTTGTTCCGTGATCGGAATGTCCAATCTGTTCGGCCACACCATGAGGTTGTATATCGCGTTCTTGATGAGCTTCGAGAGCGATTTCTCAACCTTCGGAACTTTCGTGATGTCCCCGCCGACTAACCGCAGGTTGAAGTTGATCGTGGGCTTCCCGATGAACGCGATCTGCATGTCCGAAAACGTCGGCCACCACTCGCACAGCGGTCCGAAGACCAGGCGAATCGTCCCGAACGCCTCGATCTTCTCGATCGCGAACGGGAGCTTCAGCGCGTCGAACAACCCGACGTCGAGCTGCACCTCGGGCTCGAGCGCGGCCCACTTGAACTCGATGTCCAGCCCGATTTCGTTCGGGACCTCGTCCACGGCTTTCACCGACACGAATATGAGCGGCTCGAGGCCGAGCGTGAACTTTGAGAATTTACACGAAGAGATGGGCCCGGAGCGATCCACGAGCCGATTCAGCGGCCGCTCCACGGACCACACCACGCTGTTCGAGATGGCTTTGTTCAGGAACGGCCACATCTGCCGCGCCGCGCGGTTCAGCCACGGCGCCCTGTCCACGTCCGGGTAGGATATCCACGACGGGAGACGCTCGTGAAAGATCTTCTTGAGCTTGGCGGCTTCCAACACCGACTGGTCGAACGTCTCGTCGTTCAGCGCGCGTATCATCCTCGAGACGCAGACGTCCTCGGACTCGGGCGCGGGTTTGAGCCACCTGGGCGAGGTCGGGAGGGGGGGGGGGGGGCGTCGTCGGCGGCCGTTCGGGGGGAATCGGAGTCGGAGTCGGAGTCGGAGTCGGAATTGGAACGCTCGGCACCGGCGATTAGATTACGGTGGGAATTTGGCGCACCATCCGAGCTTGAACGCGAAGAACAGGAGACAGAGCACGATCATCTCCGCGGTGAGCGCCGCCTTGAAGTTCTCGTACGTCAGGTGCGTCACGACGTCGGAGAAGTAGACGCCCGCGGGCATGCTCGCCGCGGCGGCCGCGGCGAATTTCATCCCCCCCGCTCGATCGATCCGATTCGTCCCGCCGCCGTCCGTCGTCCGAGAGTTCGGAATGAATCCGACCCGCGACGGCGGTCGGCGCGACGCGGACGTGACGCGAGCTCGACGCGAGGAGGACCGAGCTCGAGCGGCGGCGCGGCGCGCGCTCCGCGACGACGACGACGACGACGACGACGACGACGACGACGACGATGACGCGCGCGCGGCGGCGGAGTGGCGACGCGTCGATTCCGCGGGCGTTCATCAGGGACAATTACCGAATTTGGAGAATCTACGTGTTGTACTTTTTGGCCACTGCATCCTTTCGCTCTCGTCGCGCCGCGTCGCGCGAAGAGTCCCTCGGTCGTCACGGGGGATCCCCCACCCCTCCCGCGCGCGCGTGCACGATCCTGCACACCTCCCTCGCGAGCGCGTCCGCCTCCGCGTCCGTGGCCGCCTCGGCGTACACCCTGACGACGTCCTCCGTGCCGCTGCGGACGCGGTTCGGGCGCGAGGGTTGGTCGATCGATTTTCGGTCAGTTTGAACGGCATCGCGGTAAGTTATCGGTCAATTTGAACGGCATCGCGGTCGAACGCGAAACCGAAACCACCAACCAGACCGGGCGCGAGCGGCGGGGAGAGAAAAACGAAAGAGAGGCTAGTAGGGTCGACGAGCGAGCGAGAGACGCGCCTCGGTCGCGCGAACGCGCGCGCGGAGCTCCCCGCCATCCGCACCGCCGCGTCGATGGCGTCCTGCATCCCCTCCGGCGTCGTCGCTCGGCGCTCCGCGTCCGTCGTCGTTATCGCCGCGCGGTCTCTCACCGAAACCTTCGACTGTCTCGACGGCAGGTCGCGATAGAGCGCGTCCCAGTCGTCCAGGCCCCACCCTCGCGCGCGGAGGATGGCCTCGACGACGAGGACGCCGCTCAGGGCGTCCCCGACCGCGGGGTTGATCGCGCGGGTCAGCGCTCGAAGCTCCCGCAACGCTTTCGACGACTCGGTCTCGGTTTCGGTTTCGGTTTCAGGGCCGTTCTATACGAGCGAAAGTCGGGGTGGAGTTGAAAGGCGTCAGTTGGAGTTGAAAGGCAACGCGGGCGGGCGTTGAAAGCGAGGGGTGGGCGGAGAGAGACCCCGGGAAAAGTCCTTAAGGATCGGCGTTCACCACGCCAACGCGGTTGTATGGGGACTAGTGTATAGAACGCACATCAGTTTCGGCGGCGTCGGCGTCCGCCGCGCACCGCGCCGCCGCGTCGTCGATCGCCGCCGTCGCCTCGTCCGAGAACACCGCGGTGCCGTGCCCGTTCGCTTCGAAGTACACGCCCACGTCGAAGCTCTCCGCGACCGGGTGCAGGTGCTTGACCCCGGTCGGCGTGCACCTGGTCTCGAGTCCGAGCGACTCCTGAGGGTCGTTCCATACAAAAATAGTTCACCGGTCAGTTGAAAGGGGGAGCGATCAAGTGTTGAAACCGGGCGATGGGTGAAAAACTTTTGTATAGAACGCACCTGAACGAACGCCGTGCTCGCGCCGTTGGCGTACGCGGTCTGCGAGGGGGCGGTCCATCGGTCAGTCGAAAGGGAGGGACCCGCGCGCGCGATCGATCGAACGAATGTTGAAACCGAGCGGCGGGCGGGCGGGTGAAAAACGAAGCACGCGCCTGCACCACGCCCACGCGCAGCGCCGCGAGGCAGCCGGAGCGTCTCAACAGGTCCGCGACGTGGAACGCGATCAGAGACGCGATCTTAGGGTCGTTCCATACGAGCGATCGAACGTCGGGGTGAAGTTCAAAGGCGTCAGTTGGAGTTGAAAGGCGTCGATGGCATGGATTGAAACCGAGGGGTGGGCGGAGAGAAACGCCGGGACCCAAAAGTCCTTAAGGATCGGCGTTCACCACGCCGACGCGGTCGTACGGGGACCGGTGTGTAGAACGCGCCTTATCCCCGTCGAACAGCGACACCGCGGCGGCGTCCGCGTCCGCGTCGTCGTCGTCGTCGCCGGCGCGCGCGCGCTTCTTCGTGAAGTACACGAGCCTGTCCGCGTCGCCGTCGACGCTGACGCACCGAGCGCCTTGAGGAGTCGCGCGCGGGACGAGACGAGATGATCGGGAACGCGTCGGTCAGCGTAACGTCTCTTCGCCGGTCGAATTTCGAAAGGGAAGCGCGAGCGAAGAGCGACGCGGCGACGGCGGAGGTCAGGTCAGGTCGAGTCCGTCCTCGAGGATCGGCGCGGCGCGCGACGCGAAGTTCGAAGTTTGAAGTTCGCACGGGAAGCGCGGTCGGTCTCTATGAGGCCATAGTCTCACCGGGGGGCAACGCGTCGAAGCCGCCGCGCGTCGGCGCGCGTTTTTCCTTCTGCACGAAATCCGCGCCGACGCGGTCGTTCAGCGCGTCGCCGGGCTGAGGGTCGTTCCATACGAGCGAACGTCGGGGTGGAGTTGAAAGGCGTCAGGTGGAGTTGAAAGGTAACGCGGGCGGGGATTAAAAGCGAGGGACCCTGGGCGGAGAGATGCGCCGGCAAAAGTCCTTAAGGATCGGCGTTCACCACGCCGACGCGGTCGTATGGGAACCAGTGTAAGGAGAACGCACCTCGCCGCCGACGTTTCGAAGCGACAGCGGAAGCATCTCCGGTCCGAGGAGCGACGCGAGCGTCCGGAGCTTCGCCGCGCCGACGCCGTTCGCGCAGTCCACGAAGACGGTCTCGGTCTCGATCTCCGTTCGATCGTCGGCGTCTTCGTCGCCAGCTGTCGCGGTCGACGACGACGCGAGCGTCTTGAACGCGCCCGCGAGCCGCTCGAAGTAATCCTCCTCCCCGCACGGCATCCCTCGGTTCGCCGCGTACACGACGTAGTGCAGCTGCGGCGTCGTCATCAGACCGAGGTCGACGCATCGCGCCCCCGCGGCGGCGATCCCTTCCGCGCGGACAGGTGCGAATGTTGGGGTGGAGTTGAAAGGCGTCAGGTGGAGTTGAAAGGCGCCGAGGGCGGGTATTGAACGCAAGGGATGGGCGGAGAGACGCGCCGGGCAAAGTCCTTAAGGATCAGCGTTCACCACGGCGACGGGGTCGTATGGGAACCAGTGTATAGAACGCACCTGACCGCACCGCCGCCGCCAACGCCTCGCCGCTCGCGCGCGTGTCCCTCGCGAGGTACACCGTCGGCGGCGTCGACCCGGCGACGGCGGCGGCGACGTGGTGATGAGCACTCCCGTCGTCGGCGGCGGCGGCGTCGTCGTTGATCAACGCCTCGAGCGCGGCGGTCGTCTCCGCGTCTCCGTCCGCGTTCGCGAGCGCCTCCGCCATCGCTTCCCATCGCGGCGGGAGCATGCCGCCGTGAAAGTCCACGAGCTTCGCGCCGTTGTCGCGCTCTGGGTTGTGCGACGCGGTGACGACGACGCCGGTCGCGGCGCCGGTCGCGGCGCTTCTGATCGCCGCGACCGCGCCGCATCGGAACATCGTGGAGTCGAGGAGCTCGGCGGGGAGGCGGAACCCCGCGGTGCCGTACGCGAACGTTGTCATCGGCGGGCTCGACGGATCGTCGGAGCCGTCCGCTCTCGGCGGGGGATGCGCCTTCGACGCGGCGAGGAACGCGGCGACGTCCATCGCGCTGCTGGGGTGGTGGTGGGACCGACGGCGCGCGCGCGCTTCGGGAGACCCTCGGTCGCGACGCCGGAACCTCACGATGAAGGTGAGCTCTGCCTGTGTGGCGGTCGAACGCGCGAAGTTCGACAAATAGCGCGCGGCGTTTCGTCGGTCAAGCCTCCTTTGAAACTCGGCGATCAATTCTCTGGTTTGATCGATGCATCGATCACGCTGAAAGCAAAAAAAAAAAAAGTTGTTACTCGTATGTTTTCTAACTAGTTTCCCATACTTTAGGCCCTACAAAACGTACTACGCCGTTACGCGACTCGGACTGCTGACAAAGAGGGTTTTTCTCCGCGTCGCATCGAAAGCCGTGTCCCTCTTTTGCCAGCGCGCGCGTCTCGACCCCGCTGTAAACTCGTTCAAGATGCCCGCCGCTCTCCCGACCGTGACCGTCCAGAACGGCAACGGCGCCACCTGCCAGCTCCCGGAGGTGTTCCTCTCGCCGATCCGCCCGGACATCGTCAACGCCGTGCACACCGGCCTGAACAAGAACAACCGCCAGGCGTACGCCGTGTTCAACAAGGCCGGCCATCAGACCGCGGCGGAGTCGTGGGGCACCGGCCGCGCGGTCTCTCGCATTCCGCGCGTTCCCGGCGGTGGTACTCACCGCGCGGGCCAAGGTGCCTTCGGTAACATGTGCCGCGGCGGCCGCATGTTCGCGCCGACGAAGGTGCGCGTCGCTCGAACTCGCGGCGAACGAAAAAAGACGCTCGCCGTGAACCCTAATACCCGGCGCAGGTCGCGATCGGCGCCGCGCGGCGCCGTCGCGACGCCCGCGACGCCGCGCGACCGCGATTCGAACGCGTCCACGTCGCGTCCGAGTCGCGCGCTCGCCGTCGCGCGCGCGCGTCGCGGCCGCGACCGCCGTCGTCGCGGTTCCGTCGCCGGCGGACGCGTCCGCGACGCGATTTATTTTTTCCCGTCGTCCCTCTCGCGATCGATCCATCGATGGACGAAAACGAAAACGCCGACGACTGACGTCCGCTCGCTCGCTCTCCTTCCCCGACCCAACTCAAAAAACGTAAAAAACACAAACAGACCTGGCGCAGGTGGCACCGCCGCGTGAACCTCAAGCAGAAGCGCTACGCCGTCTGCTCAGCGCTCGCGGCGTCGGCGGTTCCCGCGCTTCTCATGGCGCGCGGCCACGCCGTGGAGACCGTCCCGGAGGTGCCGCTCGTCGTCGGCGACGACGTCGAGTCCATCGCGAAGACGGCCAAGGCGGTCGCGCTCCTCAAGTCCATCGGCGCCTACGCGGACGTCGAGAAGGTGAAGGAGTCGAGGAACATCCGCTCCGGCAAGGGGAAGATGCGTAACCGCCGCTACGTCCAACGCCGCGGCCCGCTCGTGGTGTACGCCGACGACGACGGCATCACGAAGGCGTTTCGCAACATCCCGGGCGTGGAGCTGTGCTCCGTGGATAGGCTCGGGCTCCTGACGCTCGCGCCCGGCGGGCACGTCGGACGGTTCATCATCTGGACGAAGAAGGCGTTCGAGAAGCTCGACGCGGTGTTCGGCACGGCGGCGGCGGCGTCGAGCGCGAAGAAGGGGTGGAAGCCGCCGAGGTCCATCATGACCGTGCCGGATCTCTCGCGCGTGATCAACTCGGACGAGATTCAGAGCGCGGTGAACGCGCCCAAGGCGGGCAAGACGCGCGCGCACGCGCCGCTGAAGAGAAACCCGCTCAAGAACAAGGCGGCGATGGAGCGTTTGAACCCGTACGCCAAGGTTGCCGCGCAGATGGCCGCCGCCGCGGAGAAGGAACGCTCCGCCGCCAAGGCGAAGAAGGTGGCGGGCGCGCGCAGCAAGGTTGGCGAGGCGTTCTACCAGGGCATGAAGTCCGACTCCGCGTACGAGGGCGAGCTCTTCGACAACTTCGCGGAGTGGCTCCACGGCAAGCCGGAGGAGGAGGAGGAGGAGGCGTGAGGAATGGACGGCGAAGACGACGGTCGAGGAGGCGAGGCGGCGAGGAGGCGACTCGACACTGTCATACGTAGTGAATAGGTTGCAACGCGTCGCGACGATTCCACTCCACGACTACGACTACTGTTCTGTTCGTTTAAACTCCTACGTACTCGTGTGAGAAAGCTAGAAATAGCGTCGCGAGCGGTCAAACCCGCCGGGGGGACCGCGCCCGCGTCCCCCTCCCCACGCCGCGCCGCCTCGGAATCCCCCGCCGCCGCCGCCGCCGCCGCCGCCCGCCGGGACGCGCTGACGCATCGCGCCACTCCCGCTCGTCACCCCCGCGCCGCCGCCGCCGCCGGGCTTCGGCGGCAGCCGCTCGATATCAAGCCCCATCGCGCGCATCGTCGTCGACAGCGCGTCGCGCTCGGGGCCGCACCCCGCCGCGTCGGGCTCCGATAAGATCGCCGCCGCGCGCCGCAGCGTCGCGCCGTGCCGTTCCCTCGCCGCGCGCAGCGCCGCCCCGCACGCGGCCCTCCCCGCCGCCCCGCCGCCGTTTCCGCCATTTCCGCCGCCGCTAGACCGCGCGAGCGCGAGCAGGAACGCCGTCGCGGACGACGACACGCATCGCACGCGCGCGCGGTGCAGGGACCACGACTCGTCGAGACGGTGCGACCCGCGTCGAATCGCGCGAGGGCCCCACCACGCGTCGCCGTCGTCGCCGTCCGACAGTATGTGTGTCCGACAGTATGTGTGTCCGACAGTGTTAATGGTATTGTCCGATGACGCCTCACACGACGTGAGCGCGCCGGGCGGCAGCGGCGGCGTCGCGGACTCGCCTCCAAAGTCGAACCTGGAGACGTCGCGCGCGTGAGCGCCGAGCTCCGCCGCGAGCCGTTCCCTGTCCTCGGCGAGCGCGGCTTTCATTCGCGCGATCGCCGTCCCTCTGTCGTCCTCCGGCGTCCGCCTCCCGACGACCGTGAACGCGCGCGACGAATGCGCCGAGTTCGCGTCCCGCAGCGGCGCGGACAGCGCCGCGGTCGCGAGGACGCTCGCCGCCGCGGCGACGGCGGCGAGAAGGAGCTTCGCCGTCGCGGGAGAGGCGAACGCGGAGGACGCGGCGGCCACCGCGGCGGCGGCTTTCGCGGCGGCGGCGCGCGTCTCCTCCTCCGCGCGTCGAGCCTCGTCCTCCGCGGCCGCGGCCGCGCGCCGCGGCTCTCTCGAGTCGGCGGGCGGAACCGACGACGGAGCCGCGGGCGCGCTGGGGAACGGGAAGTACGTCGTCGTCGCCGCCGCCGCGCCGCCGGGGAACGGAAAGTACGTCGCCGCCGCGGTCGCCGCCGCCGGCGCCGCCGCGGTCGCCGCCGCCGGCGCCGCCGCGGGCGCCGCCGCGGGCGCGGGCGCTTCAACCCTGGACGTCTCAGTCGCCGCCGCCGCCGCCGCCGAGACTTCCCTAAACCCCGCCCCTCTGGCGGCGTCCAACCTGTCGGCCAACAACCGAAACAACGCGTCCACGGCGGACGCCGCCTGGTGGTTAACGTCGCCCGCGCCGACGACGACGTCGAGAAGCGCCGCCGCCGGCGACGACAGCGCGCCCGCGAGCACCGCGCTCGGGGTGATCCCGTTGTTGTCCGTCGTCGTCATTCGCGCGCCCTCGCCCTCGCCCCCGCCGTCGCCGCCCTCGAGGAGTCGGCGGCACAGGGACAACGCGCTGAGCCACGCGCGCGCGCATCGCGTCTGCGGCGCCGCGCGCAGCTCCCGCGCGAGAAAGTTTGGGAGCAACGTCCCGACGACGAACCGCCCGGCGCCGGGGACGCGGAGCTTCAGGAGCGCCCTCGCGAGCGCGTCGATCGCCGCGCGCTCGCGCGCGTCCTCGCGAGACCCCGGGGCGTGTCCTCCGAGGACGCCTTCGAGGACGCCGAGCGTGGACGCGGCGAGGTCGCGCGTCGCCGCGATTTTCGCCGACGCCGACGCCGACGCTGCGCCGCCGCCGCCGCCGCCGGACGCCGCCGCCCACCGCGACGACGCCGCGGTGACGATCGCGCGCATCAGCGTCTCGTCGTCTCCCGCGCTCGAGAGAAGCGTCGACGCGACCGCGCCGCCGAGAGAGAGAGAGAGATCCTCGCCGCGGGTCTCCTGGCGCGCGCGGTCGGCCGCTTCGCCCCACGCGCGCGCCGCCGAAGGAGTGAAGGGCACGAGCGACGCGAGCGGCGCGCCTAGATCGGCCGCGCGCGCCGCGGACGCGACCGTCTTCGACGCGTCCGCGAGCCATCGCGCCGCGCCGGCGACGGCGACGACGTGCGACGCGACGCGCGCGCGGCGTTCGCTCGCGGCGAGCGTGGACTCGCCCCCCGCGCCGCCGCCGTTTTCGTTTTCTCTTTCTCTTTCTCTTTCTTCGCGGGCAAAAAACGCGAGCGCGTGGCACCCTCGCGCGAGAGGCGGGAACCGCGCGACGACGAGCGCGAGCGCGTCCGCGCCCGTTCGCGCCGTGGACGCGAGCTGCGACGCGAAGAGCTCCCCCGCGCTGACCCTGAAGTCCGCCTCCGCTCTGGAGAGCACGTCGCCGGGGACGCCGACGAGCGCGGCGTCGCCGCCGCCGCCGCCGCCTCTGAGCGCCGCGCGCGCGGGCGCGCCGCCGTCCGACGCGTTCGCCGCGACGCCAAAGAATTCGCGCGTCGCCGCGACGTTTAACCCTTCCGTCCCATCCACTTCCCCCCTCGCCGCGCGCTGCAGCCGCGTCGCCGCCGCCGCGCCCGGCCCGCGCGTCGCGCCCTCGTGCAGCGCCCGCGCCGCCGGATGCGCGAACAGCGCCGCCGCGAGCGGACCGACGCCGCCGCTCGCCGCCTCGCTCGCGGCGGTCAGAGCCAGCAGCGTCATCGCGGGCGCGAGGCACTCCCGACTCCGCGGCGTCCCGGCGTGCGTCGGGTGCCCGGGCGCGAGCGCCGTCGCGAGCGCGCGAGACGCGAAGACGCGCGTCGGCCACGCGCGGGGGTCCCGCGTCGCGCCCCCGCCCCCGCCTCCGCCACCCGCGCCGCCGCCGTCGTCGCCGTCGTCGTCGTCGTCGTCGCGCAGCACCGGCGCCGCGAACGTCTCCTGCGCCGCCTCCGCGCCGGGAGCGCGCGCGCCGCAGGTCACGAGCGCGGCGTAGGTCGCGGACGCGGCCGCCGCGGCTTCCGCGGCGACCGCGCCGACGCCGCGCGAGGCGGCGTCGCCCGGCGCGGAGGCGCACGCCGTCAACCGCGACGCTTCGCGCCGCGCCGTCGCGAGCGCGTTCTCGCCATCCTTCACCAGCTTGTCCACCCCGCGCCATCGCGACGCCGCGGACGCGCCCGCGTCCGTCCACGCGCGGCGCCACGCCTCGGACGCGAGCGCGAGCGCTCGCAACGCGATCGCGCGATGCGCCGCGTCGGCGTCGGCGCTCGGCAATCTCGCGCCGGCGAGCACGCCGCACAGCTGTCGGAGGCACATCCCGGCTTGGTCCGCGAGGCCGTGCGCGAGGCACGCGTCGACGAGCGTGGCGTGCAGCGCCGCGCGGTGGCGGAGGATGGACGCGGAGGGGGAGAGCGGCAGCGCGGCGCCGCCGCCGGCTCGAAACGACGCGCCGCGTTCGTGAGGGCCGTTCTATACGAGCGAACGTCGGGGTGGAGTTCATAGGCGTCAGTTGGCGTTGAAAGGCGTCGAGGACGGGGATTGAAAGCGAGGGGGTGGGCGCAGAGAGACGCCGGGAAAAGTCCTTAAGGATCGGCGTTCACCACGCCGACGCGGTCGTATGGGAACCAGTGTATAGAACGCACCTGAGATGCGCGCTCGCCCGCGGCGGCGTCGTCCTCGCTCGGCTTGCGCAGCAGCGACGCCGCGGCGAGGAGCTTCCCGAGATCGCGCCGCAACGCCTTCGCGTCCGGCGCCTTGCGCAGGTGCGCGGCGAGCGCTCGCAAGGACGCGTCGCACGCGCACCGCGACGCGCCGCCGGCGCCAAAGGCGGGCGTCAACGCGCACGACGACGACGACGACGACGACCACCACGCCGCGGGCTGCGCGAGATCGCAGCACGCGACGCACGGCGGCGGCGCCAAGTCGCGCGACGCCGACGCGGCGTCCGAGAGCGCGAACATCCCGCCGGTCGCGCGCGCGCGCGCGGCGGCGTCGCGCGACTTGGCGCCGCCGCCGTGCGTCGCGTGCTGCGATCTCGCGCAGCCCGCGGCGTGGTGGTCGTCGTCGTCGTCGTCGTCGTGCGCGTTGACGCCGGACATTGGCGCCGGCGGCGCGTCGCGGTGCGCGTGCGAC